CATATCGGTGGTTATTCTTTGGGATTAGGGTATTTGATGCATTATTAAGTAGACACCGCTGCAGGTTTCCCCGATGAATGGGGAGTGGCACGATTTATGCACGATAGGAAACGACGCGACGCGTCTCGCCGCGATGCGGTTCAGTAATAGAGGTACGATGTTTCCCTTGGCGCACAGTTAGCGGGACGTTCCGTACCATAACTTATTACCACTCGCAGCGTGCTAACTCGGCCGTGAATTGGAGAATCGCGAATCTCATTGCGCACGATTTACGCAGTTCGATTTGCAGCGACGAGTAGCGGGGAAAAGCAAGATTTGCAACGTTGAAATGGGAGCTTCAATACTTCGATTGGCTGCAGAGTATAGATGTTTGTACTTACTTAGAGGCTAAGGCTAATGTACATACAAATATCTTTTACAATCATACTGGAAAAAAAATGGTGTGCCGAAAGTGACCGAGTCGATTGAATTTCAGTTGGTTTCTGGTTGGTGGAGCTACTTCTTTACTGTAGTCTTCGACTGCTTCTCGAAACTCCGTCAAACTTACGATCCGAATGTCTCTCAGTGACAATTCTTCTAGCCTCTAGTCGTATCGCTTCCAACGAGTGACTAAAACACAGACATTGGAGAAAGAAGGGAAACAATGAAACGGCACGGGGGTACACACACGCATTTCGCCATCCATCTATAATACACGAGTCTCCGGTCGTGTCACGCTCGATATCGAAAAATATCAATAATAACGACAAACAACAACGAGAAACAGGCGGCAACAGGGGATATGGGGGGAGTGGCGTGAAGGGGAGAGGGTGGAGAAGGGAGACGGACGAGAAGAGAAGAGCAAGAGGGGGCGAATGGAAGCGTGACACCGGGCGAGGGAGACGGAAACAGCACGCGTCCCGGCGCTGTGAAAGGGAGAAAGACGAGAGCAGAGCGCGAAAGAGTGCGAGGACCTGGTAAATCGCACAACGATTGGCGAAAATGCTATTCGAAATTTAACGTCGCTCTCCCGTCAAACGCCCATCCACTCCAGACCGTGCGCCGCGCCACCCTCCCTCCCCCTACCCTTCCATCCCTAACTCCGCGTTACCACGGCGTTCGTTCGCGTTCCGTCGATGAATTTCGAGTTTGTTGCCAATCACTTTTTCGCGCAATTATTTCACAACGTTTCGACATGACGTACAAACCAAGCGGACCGAACGATAGTACCACCGGTCACGACGGGAGGGAGAGGGTGGCAGAGAAGGAGGAAACGGGGGGGGGG